AGAAGGCACCCTAAGGATGGCCCCAGCCAGCAGGGCAGGTGGCTGTGTCAGCCTGGCTGAAGAGTACGAGGGAGGGGAAGATGAGGGTCCCTACCTATCCCCAGAATGTCAGGCCTGGAGCTGAGACCAGCTGGGTGCTGACCCCCTCCCTGCTTCTGGTTCTCAACCCCCCAGCCCTGCAGCTCCCGCTGGCCAACGATGGGGGCAGCCACTCACCGTCCTCAGAGAGCTCCCCGCAGCACCCCACGCCCCCTGCCCGACCCCGCCACATGCTGGGGCTCCCGTCAACCTTGTTCACACCACGCAGCATGGAGAGGTGAGCTGTCAGAGCAGGCTGGCAGGGGGTCAGGGCCCATTCAGCAGGGCAGCATGGGGAGTGTTGCTGTGCCAGGTGAGAGGGTGGTGAAGTCTGGGGAACACTGGTGTGCGGGCTTGGGTTGCTTCGGGTTGGTTAGGAACCCCTTCACCAACTCCTGCTCCCTGTCCCCAGCATCGAGATTGACCAGAAGCTGCAGGAGATCATGAAGCAGACGGGCTACCTGACCATTGGGGGCCAGGTACCTCCCTTGCTCAGCATCTGGGCGGAGGAGGGCAGGATACGGCTGGGCCAGGGGGTGGGGGTGGGAGGACAAGCCCTGGGGACCCTCCAGCCTTGTTCCCTCTCCCACCTGCCAGCGCTATCAGGCAGAGATCAACGACCTAGAGAACTTGGGCGAGATGGGCAGTGGCACCTGTGGCCAGGTGTGGAAGATGCGTTTCCGGAAGACAGGCCACATTATTGCTGTCAAGGTGAGTGCAGTCCTTGCCTTTTGGACCTCTGTCTCATTCTCTGCGTCCCTGGTGCTAAGGTTCCCTCCTGGCCATCCCTTCTTGCAGCAAATGCGACGATCGGGAAACAAGGAAGAGAACAAGCGCATCCTTATGGACCTGGATGTGGTGCTCAAGAGCCACGACTGCCCCTACATTGTGCAGTGCTTTGGCACCTTCATCACCAATGTGAGCAGGTTCTTGACTGGCCCGGCCCATGGGGAAGCCTCAGGGTGCCCTTTGCCCCCACAGGGTCCTCTTCCCTGGGGATCAGAGCATGACTGGGGTGGACAGGAAGGCACAGTCACCCCAAGCCACATGTGCCACCCCTCCCTCTGCAGACAGATGTCTTCATCGCCATGGAGCTTATGGGCACATGTGCCGAGAAGCTTAAGAAGCGGATGCAGGGCCCCATCCCTGAGCGGATCCTGGGCAAGATGACAGTGGCGGTGAGCTGCAGGCCAGGGCTCATGTGACTGGGTTGACGGCCCCAGGCCATGTCCCCCCTTCACAGGAGTCTTCTGCTGTCCATGCTGCAGATCGTAAAGGCACTGTTCTACCTGAAGGAGAAGCATGGCGTGATCCACCGCGATGTTAAGCCTTCAAACATCCTGCTGGATGAGCGGGGCCAGATTAAGCTCTGTGACTTCGGCATCAGCGGCCGCCTGGTGGACTCCAAGGCCAAAACACGGAGTGCCGGCTGTGCTGCCTACATGGCGGTGAGTTGGGAGCCTGTGGAGCTGGGAAGGTGGAATGGGGTCTGAGACACTGGCCCCTATCCTGAAGGTGCATCCTTTTCTCCCTCCTGGTAGCCTGAGCGCATTGACCCCCCGGACCCCACCAAGCCTGACTATGACATCCGAGCAGATGTATGGAGCCTGGGCATCTCATTGGTGAGCTGGGACCCTGCCTCCACCCTCAGGCTGGGAGTAAGGAAGCAAAGGAGGGCAGGATCTCCTTCCCCGCCAGTCCAGCCCTGCCTGTCTCCCTGTCAGGTGGAGCTGGCAACTGGACAGTTCCCCTACAAGAATTGCAAGACGGACTTTGAGGTCCTCACCAAAGTCCTACAGGAAGAGCCCCCACTCCTGCCGGGTCACATGGGCTTCTCGGGGGACTTTCAGTCCTTCGTCAAAGACTGGTGAGCATCCCTACTTGCCCTGCTCTTCTGCTCTGGGAGGCCTCAGGAAGCCAGGTGTGGCCCATTGCTCAGGGCTGCTAGAGAAGGCTGGTGTAGGAAGAGGAGGGAGAGGCCACCCAGGGATGGTACTTTGGCAGCTTCAGGCCGGCTACAACCAGGGGCTGTGCCAGGAGTTGAAGCTGGTACAGAACCATGAGCTGGGTTTGGACCTGTTGATACCTGGCCCAATGGGTATTTGGTGGTCAGTGGGCTTTGCCACAGGATATTGTGAATGAATGGTGCTGCTTCAGGGCCAGCAGCCCTAAACACTGTACCTTAGCAAGGAGAGTAAAGTCTTCAGGAAATCACGTACCAGTCTCCTGGGAGCCCACCCAACTCTCTAGTAGGAACCTCCCATTCTAATTCTAGGTCCCACGCCAGGCCTTACAATATGTCCTGGCTGGGAGACTTCAGGGATACACAGCTTGGCAGGTCCCAGCCACGAACAGATCTGGAAGACCCCTGGCTCACCAGAGAGGGCTTACGCGGGGAGGCAGCCCAGCCTGCCCCACCAGACTCTCACCTCCCTCCCCTTCCTCCTCTTCCTCCAGCCTTACTAAAGATCACAGGAAGAGACCAAAGTATAATAAGCTACTTGTAAGTACGGGGGCCCTGCCATTTGGGAACCCAGCCCCCCCCAAGCCGAGGCCTGGAGGAAAAACCCCTCATCCTAAGCCCCGCCCCTCGGGTCCACAGGAACACAACTTCATCAAGCGCTATGAGACGCTCGAGGTAGATGTGGCATCCTGGTTCAAGGATGTCATGGCGAAGACAGAGTCACCGCGGACTAGTGGAGTCCTGAGCCAACATCACCTGCCCTTCTTCAGGTAGCCACACGGTGGCTGCCAGCCCCACAGGGGCCAGGGGCATGGCTATAGGCCCCCCTTCCCCACTTGGCCACCCAGCTGCCCGCCAGGGGAAACCTGGGTTCTGGACGGCCACTGAGGGCTGAGGACAGAAAGTAGGGGACACCCATCACCCCTGACTCCCTGCCCACCAGCCGTGGACAGATGGGCCTACTGGTCCCCAGCCCTCCCCACCCTGGGGTCAGCCGGCTATGTGCGTCCGGTGACAGACACTGTGAATGGAAGACAGCAGGCCGCCAGCAGACTCGCTATTTATTTAGTCGAAACCTCTGGGCTGGGCAGTCCCCAGGGGCCAGGAGAGAGCTCCCACATCTGCACCCCACACTTCAGCACCTGCCCTCTCTCTCCCTGACATGTGCTTGCTCTCCATGTCCCTCTGCCCTGTTCCTCTCTACCCCTCTGTCCCTGTCTGGCTTTCCCCAGTTCCTTCTAGTCCCCTGCTTCTCTCCTGGCTCAAGCCTGGGCTCAGACACCCCACCCCTCTGTGGGAGCTCTGGGTCTACCTAGGCCTCCTTGAGTCCTCACCCCAGGATGGCGGAGTGGTCATTGTGACTGCAGCCGGACCAGGACTGGTTTCTCTCTCTCTTTTCTCTTTCTCTCTCTCTCTCTTTGATCTCAGGGGGTCCTTTTTGGAGTTTATTGTATTTTATTGTACTTGGTGGGGTGTTGGGGGGAGGGGGATGAGGAGAGTGTGTCCTCATGGGGTGTGTCGGTACCTTCAGAAACTTTTACCAAAGTCATGTTTAGCTGCTTGTGCTGGGGCCTCCAACTGCTCTCTGGCACTGGGGGGGCTGGGACTGGGGGCTGAGCCAAAGGGGCCTGGGCTACTGCTCCTGGTGGGTCCCAGGCCCAAAGAGGCCAAATACGGGCTCTGGGGGTTCCTCCACCCTTGAGGCTGGAGGCTGGCCGCAGCTTGGGGGTAGCTTGAGAGCTTAGGCAGTGGAGGGAGCCCAAGGGGCCTCGGCCATGCAGGATGGCCTTCAGGGAAGGTGGTGAAGGGTGTAGTAGGGAGCAGCGGGCATCAGGGAGGTGGCTGGAAGGCAGGAGTGGGGCCAGGGAGCTGGGGGAGGGCAGGAGGAAGTCAGGATTGAGGGCAGAGGGAGCGGATGTGGAGGTTTGAGGACGTGACAGGGACAGGGATAGGCTTGGCTGGAGTGTCAGGGGAGAGCAGGCCAGGGTGTGGGAGTGTCGAGCCCCTGAGCAACCCTCAGCTTGCCCGCTGGAGCTGGCCAGCCCCCAGGCCACCTTGAGGCCTGGGATGGGGAAGGACTGGGCCAGCGTGCCCTGCCCCCAGCCCACTGCAGCAGCCAGAGCAGGATGGGTGTGTTTCCTTTTTGTTGGTGATGCATGCAAATCAAGTGGACAAGAAAACAAACAAAAAAGAAAAAAAAGATTAAATCACAAACATAAACCAACCAACACCAAAGGTGAGGAACCTGGCTGTGCGCAGCTGAAGCAGCATAGGCCTAGACAGCCGGGCCTCTGACCTGTCTGTTGACTCATTACACTATTATATTCACACATGCCGCATGTTTAAAACGAAATAGAAGTCACCTTCTCTCTGCCCCCCAGGGAAGGCACCTTCATCTCCTTTGTGAGGGGATGGGGGCGCGGGTCAACAGGCCTGGCCCCTGCCTTTTCGGGCAGCTGGAAGGGCCCTTGGCTGGTCCCACAGCCAGCACAGGCCTGAGGCTGGGCTGCCTGGGTTTGTTTTTATTTAACTTTATTTTCTGTTTTGTGTGTGTCCACCCATGTCCTCCCTTCAGTGTTGAGTGGGAGCTCCGGGGAGTCGCTCCTGCCTCCCTGCCTCCCAAGACTTCCCCTCCGTCACCAGCCGTCCCTCTGGACCAGAGGACAGTCGGGTGGGCAGGGTCCTGGGGTGGCCTGGCCCAGCCCACCGGCCCAAGAACCCCTTCTCAGGCCACCAGTATTGCCCTGTTCCTTTTTAAAATAAAATGCCCTCGTTTGTAAATCCTTAGACGCTTGAGAATAAAACCCTTCCCTTTTCTTCTGAGTCTGTCGTGTCATGGGGCTGGTAAGACCTGGGAAGGGGCCAGAGGAGGGGCGCCATTCAGGTGGATGAGACCCCTGCATTGGGGGAAACTGAGGCAAGCTTGGGAGGGGGTATTTGTAGTGACTCACTGAGTATCCAGTGGCCTTTGTGAGGTCCAGGTACCCCTTCTCCCCAGTGATCTGGAGCCAAGCAAGAGAGAAGCCCCTAATCCCTGTAGGCCTTGGACACCAGCTCTGGTATCAACCCTCAGTCCTCCACCCCCGCTCCCTGCTTTCCAGGGTGGCAGCCCATCCAAGGCCAGGGTTGCCTGCCCACCTGCTGACCTGTGAACAGCCCGAGTAGGCGCCACTGCTGCTGGCCCTGCAGTGCTCCCACCTCAACCAGTGCAGCATGCTGGGCACCAGACTCCTGCTGCTGGCTCTGCTCCCAGGGACCTCCCCCTTGCCTGGTGGGCCGATTGGTATGTAGAGGCTCCGGGCATCCTGGGTGGGTCACGCTCTCATTCCCCTGTTGTTACTTTTCAAGACCTCTGCTTCTGGCGATGGGGGGGGTCTGGCTCTATCCAGGCTGGCCATCTTCACAAGCCCCAGGAGCCACTATGAGGATCAGGGCTGGGGGAGTGGAACCTTCTTTACAAATGCTTTTTGGAAGTGGGTGTGCAGATTGTATTTGACAGGGACCCCACAGAACGTTGTGAAGGTACTGAGTGTGTGCAGGGTCACAGGATAGGAGACCCCTTTCTGCTGTCCTGTGCTGCTGCTGCCCTCAGCCTGGGAGCAAAGAGCCAGAAGCAACAAACAAAACCCCAGACTCTGGCCGTCTGGCTGGACTGTGTGCCCTGAAAAGCCTCGGGAAGGGCACCCCTGTCACCACTTTCCCGTTGGCGACTGCACCGACCTTTTGGGGAACAATACGACCGACATCTCTAACGAGCTGCCTGGGTGAAGGGAGAGACCTCTGACTTCACCCAGTTGTCCCTCCTCCACCCCGCTCTGCAGAGGGAGAGAAAGAGGTCTCCCCAGGGGCGCGCAGCCCTGCGCCCTGCCTGGACGGCTGGCTGTTAAGCTCCGGGGCTCACGGGGGCTGTCTTAGTAACTCCCCGCTGTCAGAGAACTTAGGGAAATCCGGAACCAGAGCCGCGCAGGTCCCTATTCGGAAGAAGGCAGTGGGTGGGGGGCAGGAGGTCGGGACACTTTCCTGGAGGGTTTAAGGGAATGCGTCTTCCTCCTCTGTGCTGCCCTTTTCCCGCTCCCGCCAGCGCCCGCGTTCCCCGGGGGACCTGGCCCCTGGCTGCGCAGGCCCCTTTTCAGTCTGGAGCTGTCTGACGCAGAGGACGCCTTCCCGCGCCGCGCGGGGCCGCTCGAGGTCCCGGCAGATAGCCGCGTGTTCGTGCAGGTGCGGACCTTGGTAGCACCCAGGGCAGGTGGGTACAGGCGGGAACCGGGCGACCCTGATGGCACCTCTGTCTCTCAGGCGGCCCTGGCCCGACCCTCCCCGCGCTGGGGCCTGTCCCTGCACCGCTGCTCAGTAACGCCGTCCTCACGCCCGGCCTCCGGGCCTGCTCTGGTGCTGCTAAGCGGGGGCTGCCCTGCTGACGCCTCGGTAGCCTTCCCGCCACCGTCGCACCCCGATGCGACCCGCCCCGCACGCTTCAGCTTCCGGCTGCGCCCAGTGTTCAACGCCTCGGTGCAGTTCTTGCATTGCCAGCTGAGCCGCTGCCGCCTCCTCCAGGGAGTCCGCCGGACGCGGGAGGCTCTGACCTCGCCGCCGAAGAAACTGCGGGTGCGGAGAGTAAAGCCGGAAATTTGGGCGCTGGGGACCCTCTGGGAGCACAAGCGTCTCAGGCACCAGAGAGAAGCACCTCGGGGTTTGGGCATCTGGGTATTAGGGTCTCTTGGGATCTGGGGCAAGAATCCCTTGAGGGCAGGGGTTTGGAACTGGGGTCTCTCTCTGGCTGGGTGCGCTAGATGCGGAGACCCCCCCCCCGCCCCAGGGACCCGATGAATTCCTCGTGGGGGAAATGAAATGGACACCGAATCCCCTCTGGATTCAGACTGGATGCAGAAGCCTGCAAAGGGACCAATCTGTGGCCCTTGAGGTCGGGCTCCACAGGTTAGGTGCTGAGAGCCGGATCTTAAGACTAGAGCGCCTGACATTTGACATCTTCTCTGGTGGGGCCTGGAACCCTAAGGCTGGATTTCTAGAGGGTCTAAAGGTGGCCTCCTGGCTGCGGTGGGGAACTGGATGCTTAGGGGCTACGCCCCCCCACCCCCGCAGGTGCGGTTACTGGGGATTGAATCCAAGGGTGCCTTACAACTGAGCTACATCCCCCCCCCAAAAAAAAAAAATCTTGAGATAAGGTCTCCTCGCGGAGTTGCTGAGGTTGGCCTCAAACTTGCAATCCTCCCCGCTGAGTCTCCGTAGTCGCTGGGATTATTCCGTACCGGGCGCTTAGGTGTCTTCAGAGAGACTTGAGGACCAGACCCGGGATCGCCGACCTGACGTCCCTGTTTCTCTCCCTCCCGCCAGTGTCTGCCCCAGGATGAGGCATGCGCGGGCGTTGGCAGCGGCAGCGGCAGCGGCGAGAGCCTGGGCGCCGACAGCCCCCACCTGCACACGCTGACGCAGCCTATCGTGGTCACAGTGCCGCGGCCGCCCCCCAGTAAGCACGCCGGTGCCCTGGGGCCGGGCAGGGCAGCACAGCAGCGCCCCGGGCCCCGGCTTAGCGTTGCACTCTCCCACAGGGCCGCACAAGAGCCTCCCGGGCAGGGCCGTGCTCCCCCAGCCGCCCGCGCCGGCCCCGGGGGCCCTGGAGCCCGCGCCTGTGGTGGCGCTGGTGTTGGCCGCCTTCGTGCTGGGCGCCGCCCTGGCCGCCGGGCTGGGCCTCGTCTGCGCACACTCAGGTACTCCCAGCCTATTCCCAACGTCCAGACCTGGGATCGTACGGATCCCAGCCTGCGAGGCCTCAGGCTTCCTAGATCTGCCTCCGCTATGCCCCAAGCACCCCCCAGGGGGCGCTCTTACCCTGGCTCAGGAGCCTCTTCCTTCCAGCGCCTCCACTCCCAAGCCAGCCAACTAGAGCTTCGCCCAGTGGCCCTCTGCCCCGGAGGCCCCAGTGAGGCAGGTAAGTGTGTGTGGGGAGATCTGGAGGAAGAGCTGGAGAAGGAAGGTGATAATGACCTTTCATAGAGCTAACTCTAGCGGCAGGCATGGCTCTGAATGTTTTACACACATTAATCTTTCAAATAACCTTCAGGTGGCTATTATAATCCCCACTAGAGAGGAGGAAAATGAGGCCCCGAGGTCTAGTAACTTGCCAAAGGTCATAATGTTTGGTGGAGCCGGGACTGGAATTCATGGACTGGGATCACTGAGGTGGACTGTGGGGTCTGGATGGAAAGGTCCTCAAGCCTTGGACAGGTACTAGGCAAGGGATTTGGGATTCAGACCCAGTTTCCACTCTCCCCGCCACACAAACTGATATAAGGCCAACGCCTGCTAGGAAGGGGGTGCGTAGTTTCCCCACCTTCGCTCAGCCTGCTCCACTCCTCCCCAGCGATGGAGCCTTGCCTGCAAGGGGCACCCAACCATGGGTTCAGGAGTAGGCTCTCCAGGACCTGATCCGCAGTTCTGGACACAACACTTTGGGGCCTCGATCCCTGTGCTTCTCTCCTCCCTTCCTCCCACCCCCGCTCCCATCTAAGCTCAAAATAAACTTCTGGACTGATCCGCTTGAGTTCTGGTGGGGTCAGTGTGTGTACGGCGCGGGGGACAGGCTTGGGCTTGTACCTGAGACTAGAATTTGCGGGGGAGGGGATTGGGCGGAATCCTATGCCCATACACACGTGTGCTGGGGAGTCAAGGGCGATTCGTTCTAAACAAAAAGTAACACTCAACACTGCCATCTTAAATTTAACATAAACTCCGCCTTCTCCCACCCCCACCCTGCAATCCTTCGCTCTCCCCCAAACCGGACCGTCTCTGCTGTCCACTTGCACCGCCCGGATCCTGCCTTAGCTCCATCCTCGACCTTCTGCCACTGCTCGGTTCTCCTGGCTGAGCTGGACTCCATCCTCCTCCGAGGATCCATCAAGTCTAGAATTCCTTAAATTCCTTCTCTGAGTTCCTCCCTCCCCTGCGCATAACAAAAGTAGGAATATTAGCTCCGGCTTAGAGGGAGAAAACTGAGGCTCGGCAGCCTAAGCCACTCGCTCAAGGTTCCCAGGGCTACCCAACTCCACAGTGCAGGCTTTTGACCACGACCAGACAACTGCCTACCCATCTTCGGGAAGCAAAGCACACAAAGTAGGAGTTTTATAAGTTAGTTCAGGAATGTAGAGAGGACACGCACATCCAAAGCGTAGGCTCCAGTTCGTGAATGAGATAAAACGCGGAATGTGGGTCTCAGTCGCCCCCGCCTCAATTCTGGTGCCAGTCTTATCATTCCCAAAGGAGATTCCCTTTGGCTCGCCAAGGTGAAGCCACGCCCCCATCTGCGCCCTTCCCGACGCGGGGCTTTCTGGTCTCAGCGGCTTCCGTAGCCCCGCCCTCCGAGCAAGCGGTCCTCGAGCGCCGGCGTCTCTCAGTAGCATGAAGCCACCGCAGCGGCGGCGAGCGGCCCCGGCACGCTATCTAGGAGAGGTGACCGGCCCCGCGGCCTGGAGCCCCCGCGAGAAGCGGAAGCTCCTACGACTACTGCAGGCGCGGCGGGGCCAACCAGAGCCAGACTCGGCCGAGCTGGCCCAGGAGCTGCGGGGCCGGAGCGAGGCTGAAGTGAGTCCCGTGCGGGTATGGGCGTGGAAGCTAGATCATGGGCGGGGCCAGGGAGTGGGCGGGGCCGCGGTAGGCTGCCGCGGTCAGTGACGCGTCAACCACTGCTGGAAGTGTGAGCGTGGAGGCGTGAGGCTGAGGGGTGGGGCTAGGCTGGAAACCCCGTGGGTGCCCTTGGTGGGCGGGGCGTGAAGCTGAGGGGAGGAGCCGTGCCTGGGTGGGGGAATGGGCGAGCTTGTCCCTCGGGCTGGGACCTGGCGTGAGACTGAGGGGCGGGGCGAGGAGAGACGGAGATGGGGATGAACTCCGAGTGAGAAGCGCTGGAGACTGGGGACCTGGCAAAAGTCGCAGTTAGACGGAGTGGGAATGAGGATGAAGCAACAGTCAGGAAATGGGGTGGAGTGGACATGAAGAGGTGAGTTTCAGCGTCCGGGCACCTCTGGGCTGCAGGAGGAACCAGAACAAGCCTGGCCCTTACATCTTTATTGCCGCGCTGTTCCCACTCTGGGGCCTTCTTCCGGAGCCCCGCGGAGCCTCGCGGATCCGAGGCCGGGCCACGCGCAGGCTAGGGAGCTGTGGCTGCGTGTGAAGTAGGCAAGGCTGTGGTCTTGGCTTCTGCTCTGCATCCCTGAACTCATAACAGGCCCGTTTGGCTTACTCTTTTCCCCTCAGATCCGGGCCTTCCTCCAGCAGCTGAAAGACCGAGTGGTCCGGGAGGCCATTCAGAGGGTGCATCCAGGTGGCCCAAAACGCAGAGAGGCGGAGCCCCCAGCCCCCATAGAGGTGAGGCAGGTGGGCAGGGCAAGGCTTCTCAGGGCTGGCCTCTGTGGGAGCGGGGACCCCCAAGAGGGTCAGGTCTTGGGAGAGCCTTGCTGACTGACGCCTGCTGACCATGTGCCTTTGGACTTCACCCAGGTATGGATGGATTTAGTTGAGAAGATAACAGGCCCACTGGAGGAAGCCCTGACAGCAGCTTTCTCCCAGGTACAGCTGGACCCCCAGGCCAGCAGGGTTGTCCCAGGAGACAGGTTGTACATATAAGCCCAAGTAAGGTGGGACTGGGGACGTGGTTTCAGTGGCAGAGCACTTGTCTAGCATGCAAGAGGACCTGGGTCCTGGGCCCTTCCTTTTGTCAGTTCTGTGCCCCTGACCAGGCACTAGACACCTTGATCTTTCGTGGTGGTCCTGTCTTGGAGGCCATCTTCTATCCGTTGCATTCCTCAGAGTTGTGGGGAGGATTTGGGAAGCTGGGGAGTGGAGTGCTCAGCCCAGGCCCCACAGGGCAGAGGGAAATGGGGGACTTTCCTGTTTCCTCCCTGCTGGCTCCACCTGCCAGGTGCTCACCATCGCAGCCACAGAACCTGTCAGTCTCCTGCATTCCAAGCCCCCCAAGCCCACACAAGCCCGTGGAAAGTCACTGATCCTGAACATCACTGGAGGGCAGGGGGACACCACCCCAGGGGCCCCTGGTCCTGCCTCTGAGACGCCTGCCAAATCCCCTAATGGCCCTGCTGTTGAGGGAGACATCACCATAGACTTTGAGAAGATTTACAAGTACCTGTCCTGCTGCTCCCGGAGTGGTCATGTCCCAGAGCTCTCAGCAGCTGGTGAGAGGAGTTGGGGAGGGCAGGGGGTATGGGACAGGGGTCCTAGGTGGCAGGTCTTGACTTCCCTTACTCCTTCCCTTTCCATCTATCACCAGAGTCAGCTGTGGTCCTTGACCTGCTCTTGTCGCTTCCTGAGGAGCTGCCCCGCCTGCCCTGCACAGCTTTGATTGAGCATATGACTAAAACATATGCTCACCTGATGGCCCCACAGCCCAGTCCCTCTGGTAGAAGCCCTGGACCTGGGGCTGAGGATGGAAGTGCTTGCTCCCAGGGGCCAGAGGAGCCCAGCCAGACCAGCCCCCATGCCCCTGAGCAAGCCACGCCAGGGGAACCGAGATCAGCCTGGCAAGCAGCTGGGATCTGCCCCTTGAACCCATTCCTGGTGCCCCTGGAGCTCCTAGGCCAGGCAGCCACCCCTACAAGGTGAGGGGCATAGCAGGTCGTAGAAACATCTGAACTAATCTGGCCCTTAGTGTTTTGTAGCCATCACTGGGTTGTCATGAGGATTATTTTAGAAGGTCCCTGACATGGTGCTCAATGTGGCCTAGTCTTTAGATGCTTTACATGTCAGGGATCTCAGAAACAGAACTAGAGTTGTGCAGGGGTTAATGGAGAATAGGGATGCAAGACTCTACAGACAAGCATCCTGAACCCCTGGACAGACAGATGGAACTGACCTGCCAAGCCCAGCTTCCTTGTTCTCAGATAGCAGAGCCATGGCTGGTCCCCCATACTGTGACCTCCTCATATGCCCTCTCTTGTCCAGGTTTTCATTATTTTCATCCCGGAGCCCTCTTCACTCCCCTCTATTCAGTGCCCACCACTGCCGGCTCCTCATTTCTTCCTGGGGTGTCCTATGGCTTCTAATAAAGTTCTCATCTACCTGTCCTGCTCTTTTCCCCATGACTAAACAATGGGATTGGGGCTCTGAGCCTGGGGTCATGTGTACTTTGGGGGCCACACCAGGGAGGAGGGTACAGTCACCAGCACCAGTTGCTGCCTGGCATGACCTTAGTTTGGCCATGAGGATCCCCTTGGCAACTGGGTGGAGGTGGGTCTTGGACAGGTGTGGTTGGGTAGGGCTTATGGGGAGACAGGTGTCAGACAGGTTTTCAGAGCAGGGCAATGTCACATCATACACGCGGAAGGTAGAAGGCAGCAGAGAATACGACGCCAACCTGGGGGCCCAAGGCCATGGGCTGTGGGAGGCTTAAGTTGGGGGTGATGTGCCCCAAGCGGCAGGAGGCCAGAGGAAGGGGAGTGAGTCCCCAGAAGTGGCCTTACACCTTCAGAAAACCCTAGGAGGGGAGGAGAGAAGCAGAGTTGGAGGGGCCTTAGGAGGAGAGTGAGGAACAAAGCTGAGTGGAGGAGTGGGATCAAGTCCTGGTCATCCCCAAGATCCCACATTCTTGGGGGTGTTGCTGGGCTTCCATGCACCAACTACACCTGCCCTACAGGCATGGAGTAGGGCCGGTCTGGGGTAGCCAGGTGTCCTCCCACAGCGCTCCCTCTCCCACGCCTGACTAGCTGCCGGGGAGGGGGTAGGTTGTCTGCTGGCAAGCCTGTGCCTGCACACAGCTTTCCTTTTATAGAAACGTTCATTTCTCCCCACACACTGCACACAGCTCCCCTGGGGCACACAACACATCTCCCGGGCCAGCAGTGGAGCGCAGCCAGCCTACTCGGTGGCCATAGCCTACAGTGCCAGGCCCACTGGTTCCAAGGCACACTTGATGATGGGGGAAGGAAGGACAAGGCCCAGAAGGTTTGGGGCTGCAGGTGTGGTTCCTGGGGATAATCCCCAAGGTTGGCTGAGGGTACCCCATCCCTGTTATCCACAGCTCCCAGCATCTCCCCAGATCGAGGGAAAGAGGTGTGTATTTATCTTAGCTGTGCCTGGAGCTGGGGGACAAGACAGTAAATGTCTCCCCCTGAAGCTAGAGAATTGGGTTAAGATTATGCAAAAGCCAGACCTGGGTTCCACTTCCAGCCCAGCTGAACATGAGGCAAGAAGCTAACGGCAAGCCCTTCTTAAGTGCCTGGACCTCAGTCCCCTGACCTGTAGAATGGGGATGCTAACAAAGCCCAGCTCATTCTCACCGTACCGAAGAGCAAATAGGCTAGGAAAAGGAGGCCCTGAATAAACAGCTGCTTACCACACAGTCAGCGCTCCATAGTATTTATTATCATCATCATCATCATCATCATCGCTCTGGCAGGGAGAAGTGAAAAGGCATGAGAGGTGGGGTAGGGTGGCAGCGGGGCCAGCGGGAGGAAGCAGGGGGGCCGATGGGGACGGACGGTGGCACGAGGAAGGGCGCGCTGACCTGTACTGGGGCCCAGGCTTGGGGCGGGGATGAGCCTGCCCCGCACTCCTCCTCCACCGAAGGCTCCGCACATCCTGGACACAACAGCCACAATGGGTCGTCAAGGGTCCCTCTCCGGGGCAGGCCGCGCAGGATATTATTAGAAGCAACCATCCAACCCGTGGGCCCGAGAGAGCGCCATTAGGGCCGGAGCTCAAGGAGGGGCTCAGCACTTAATCACGGTGAAATTGAGGGTGGTCAGAAGACAGAGGTGTGGAGGACAAGGAGTGTCCCCACTTTCAGGAAAGAACACGACACTCATGCCCACAGGCAGGACAATAGCAGAGCCACTTACACGCTGGGAAAGACGGGGATCGGTGCGGGAATCCTTTTCCCACCTGGGATTCAGAGTGCAGCGGAGATGGGGCAGGGCAAATAAAGGCACGAGGCGCGCCTCCGGCCAGGCCAGGGGGGAAAGATGGGCGGGGTTAAGGGAGGGCGGGGCTTCTCTTAACGCCCGGGCCCCGGGCTGGGGATTCCGGGCCAGGATCCGCAGTGCACTCCTGGCCAGGAGGTGCCCCTGCCCGGATGACCCTCGGAGGCACAGTTAAGGGCGGGCCCGGGACGCCGAGCCCCTCACACCAACGCGTAGTCAAACTGCCCACGCTCGAGCGCCTCCTTGTGGTCGGTCCAGGACGAGGCGGGCATGCGGCTGTAGGGGTCGAGCAAGATGCGCACGCAGCGCACCATCAGCAGCACCAGCACCACGAGCAGGCAGAGCACGAAGGCGAACACCGTGCGCTGCTCTGCGTCCAGGCCCGCACCCACTGGGGGTCCTGTCGATGGCGGCAGCGGCTCCGGTGACAAAGTCCACGTCGCGCTCATGGCTCACATAGCCGCACGCCCTGCGGAGGAGGGGGCCCGCCCAGGGCTCACGGATGAGGCTACGCCCTCCCGCGCCTCCGCGTTGCCCTCTCCCGCCGCCGCCGCCACCGCCGCCACCGCCCCCAGGTCGTGCCTCGCAAATCCCCCGCCCGCGTCGCCGTCCCCGGGCTACGCCCATGACCGGACCGCGGCTTACCACCACCACCACGCGGGGACCCAACTCCGGCAGTGCGCGCAGGCGGGGGCGCTGAGAGCCGGGCCAGGAAGCCCCGACCGGCCCAGCCCGCGCACAACAGGTGCGAACGCGCGGAGCTACACCGCGGAGGCGAGTCCCCGCTTCCCCAGCCTCACTCCCTTTGTTCTCTGAGGCCGGGGACCCCTTCCCCCACCCACGCCGCCCTCTCCCCGCGCGCCCCTCACCCTGGCTTCAACCTGGACCCGGACGGGCCACCCGGCGGCCTCGCTCTCTCCAGGGACCTATACCAGCTCAGCTCTCGGTCTTTCCCCGGCGGCGGCAGCAGCAGCGACGGCGGCCCCGGCTCAGCCCACCCCACCCGCCCCTGGAGCGGCGGAGACCGAGGCAGGCGAGCCGCGCGCCTGCCGGGCCGCCGCGGCTGTTCCCATGGAGACGGGGGCGGGGCCGCCGCGGGGGGCGGGGCTGCGCAGCCAGCGGCGCGCGGGCTGGCTACTCCGTAGTGGCCTGCGCAGGGACGACGCCCCCACCCCAGGCCTGGACAGACACCCAGCTCCAGGACTCCGCAAGCACTTGGAACCTCACCCGGGAGTGAACAGCAGCCACTCCTCTCCCACCAACACCTCGGACCTCTCGAGCTCGGCGACTGCAGCTCCATCCTCCCCAACAGGCCCTTCAGCCAAGACCGGAGGGTCCTAATACCACCAATCACCACTCAGTATGGGCGGCCAAGTTACTCCATCCCTGAGGACCCCAACCCAGATGATCCCCTAGGGGAGTTGATCCCCCTACTTTTCCTAGCACTGGTCTTCCTGTCAACAAGCAGGTAGGGTCCCAGCCAGGGCAAGTCCCTCCTCTGGGGCTGCAGTTTCTTCTCTGACCTTGAACACCTGGCCTCTCCCTGACAAGCTGGCTCCCAGTCACCAGCCACCACCCCCCAACCCCAGAGAAGCACACAGACCATCCAAGCTGCTCTTCTGCACTTTGGTGTTTTATTATTTCCAAATCTCAGGCTTATGTACAGGAAATAAGAGCACTGATAAAAGACAGACCTAAAATGGCCTGGCTGGTGTGGCCAGCAGGCCCCTGGGAGCTGCAGCCTTTTTACCCCACCACCCTGTCCCCAGGGGGAGTTCCCCTCCTGAGAGCCTGTTGGCACTGTGTGGCTGGTACACCCATGGTGACCCGCTATCAGCAGCCCCAGTCTGGTGCTGTGGGGCACATCTCCTGCCACCAGACACGTGGCACCTGCAACCCCTTCCTTGTCCAGCTGGTTCTCCACTCCCTGTCTGAGCTCCAGGCATAGACCAGAGTACTGTCCCCAGAGGTCTATAGTTGCCAGGGGTGATGCCCCTGTATATGTGACCGACATGATCCAGCCGCAGAGCTCCCTGGTCACTGCTGCCTTGCTCAGAGGATCTGCTCTGAGCTGGAGGCAGAGATGTCCAGGAGGCGCCAGGCTGCGTAGGGGTTGAGCTCGTCCTGATCTCGGCAGAGGGCCCACATGTACAGCATGCGCAGCACCTTGTCCTGTGGAGCAGAATGGGGCATGAGGGACTGGGGCTCAGGAGGCAAACAGGGTCAAGGGGCTATTGAGAGGCAGGGGAGGACACATGGATCAGGGAGGAATCAGGGTGCTGGGCTGGGTCCCCAGGGGTCACTGCTCAGGTCTTGGTAAAATTGGACAACAGATGATGCATCCTCTGATGACCAGGCCCAAACTCCTGTCCTGGGGTTTCTCCCCATTCCCACCAGGTCACAGAAATTACTGGTTCCAAGCTGGCATCTGTGCAGGGTGGCCACAGGCAGGGTCTTGGAGGTGGGAAGTTGTGCCCCCTCCCCCCAGAGTTCCCCCACTTACCGGGTCACCCTCAACCACCTCGCCTTTGGGATTTCTGATCACCATCACCAACTGGGCCTGGAAGGTGATGATCAGCACGGGACCCTGCTCCATCATCTTGCCCATGGCCAGCTGCAGGTAGCAGAGAGGGCAGCAAGCCTCAGAGAAGGGCCTAGCCCTTCCTGCTGCTCCTGGAGGTGGGAACCCCTGCCGTGGCCCTTCCTCCTGAAGCACTGCCACTCAGACCAGGACTGGTCCACTTCTAGGAGTGGGGGGACATTTCCCATGAGACTCTTCCCATATTTTCAAAGACCAGGACTTAGACTGTGAATGTGCATGAAGGCCACAGAGGGGAAGAGAGAAGGAGCTGGCTTCTGACATTCCTACTGCTCCCCAGAGGAAGGAAATCGGGGGGGGGGGGGGGGACGTGGTAGACCAGTCACTGGGGGCTCTCAGGAATGCAATGTCTGGGCAGTGCCCCAAACCTGCCTAATGACACAGGTGCTCCTGGAAGCATGATGGAGTTGCATCCTGATAAAACCATCAGAAGTTAAAAATCAGGGCTGGGGATGTGGCTCAAGCAGTAACGCGCTCGCCTGGCATGCACGGGGTGCTGGGTTCGATCCTCAGCACCACATAAAATAAAATAAAGATGTTGTGCCCACCGAAAAATAAAAAATAAATATTAAAAAAAAAAATCTCTAAAAAAAAAAAGTAGTTAAAAATATCACTGCTGAACACACACCGAATGCACCCAGCCTACTGCACATCCTGGTGTAGCTCAGCCTGTCTCAGGCACACCATGACACCTACGTTAGCCTACATTTGGGCAAAATTCTAACACAAAGCCTATTTATAATGAAGTTATTACAAGGAATTTTAAATCAAAATTCTAAGTACAGTTTCTACTGAATGTGTATGCTTTTGCACCATCATAAAGCAAAAAAATCTGAAACCACGGAAGTGGGGGATCACCTGTATCCCAACCACAGGACTATGGAAGTCCCTTTCTGCAAAGGGACCCTGCAGTTCATTTAAATGCCTGCCTATACTGAGTGTCGGTGCTAACCAGCAGGGTGTCCCAGTCCAGGTGAAGCCGTCCCCTGTCCCCTGTGTGGACCACAGCCCCCACCCCTCAGGGCTCCACCCTCAGAGGCACTTACATCAATGTTGTCAATGTCTAGGACGCGTGAATGGAACTGGAGGCCCAGGGCCTTGGCCTGCTGGATCGGGTGGGCCAGCTGACTGTAGGTCTGCAATGAGAGGCCAACATGCTGGTGTGGACGGCCATCCAGGGCAGGTCACAGACTCAGTTCCACTTGGAACCAATGTCTACACACCCTGGCACCTGGGTGAACAGACAGTGGGAGCAGAGGCCAAGAGCATGGGTCCAAGAGGAGGTAGGTGCCACCAACCTGCTGGCCTGAATCACTTTCCTCTTTATGGGAAGAGTGCATCTCCCAAGTGAAAGCTGTATTAATCAGCAAACGAGTAATTCTGCTGGAACGCCATCCAGAGCACTCCCAGGGCAAGGGGGCGGATCCTTGGCTGGTCTTTAACACTTGGTATTTACCTCCGCTGGACTCTTGGCCTGGAACCTGATGCCTTTTCTAGGATTTGTCCTAAACCTAAGGGTGCCTCTCTCATGGACTGGCCCCAAAAGACACCCTCACTGCTCTGTGCCTGCTCTCAGACTGCGGACACGGCCCTCAAGACACATGCAGTTATGGACATATTCACTAGAAGCTTCTCTGGGCTGGGCAGGCCCCTAGGATGCAAGACACTCTGAAGGCATATACTTTTTATGGAAATAAATGCTTCTCAGAAGAAAAAAAAAATCGTGCCAATCCTGCTTTTGGGCTTTTTAGAGATGACATTTCAAAAACACCTCGGTGAGCAGCTAGAACTTCAGCTGTGTTTCCAGGAGCACCAGCAGCTCTCTGGCAAAGATGATCAGCCACAGCTTAATGGTCCCAAACTAAAAAAAAAGAAAACCCACAACTCATAAATGCCTGCTGGATTAGTCACGGTGCAGGGGAGTATTTAAAAGGGAAACCTGACAGAATCTTCTGCTTTTTCCAAGTTGTTTGTGAGCAGGGTGCAGAATAGAATGAGCCAAAAAAAAAAAAAAAAAAAAGTCCGAATTGCTTCAAAGAAGCTGGGGAGGAAAAACAAAGCATATGGCCAAAGAGGCAGCTCAGGGAGAGTGAGGAGGGTGAGGCAAGATGGCCTGAGCAGACAGGCGCTGGGAGGTCCACAGGCATGGGGAGGCTGCCAGGAGCGGGGCAGACAGTGTGTGCTCTGGGGATGCCTGCCCAGCCTCCTTGTGCTGACTCTGATGGTGGCCCCAAGGCCCCGAGCACCGACCCTGGGAAGCAGCCGGGCCTTGTCAGGACGTGCTGCTCCTCCCTGGGCAGTAGATATTGTAAGAACAGCCTTGTTCTTGTAAGATTGTAATCTTGTAAGATTGCCAGGTGCTTTGTACATCTAGGTTGGCAGTGTACCCTTGCACCCCAGTGAGGTAGGTGTGGTGATAAAGTCTGGCTCAGGGGACAGGTGAGCCAGGTTAGTGAGGTACCCACCATGCGTAAAATTCAGGAGTGCCAAGGGAACATCTGGTTTCTTTACCCAGGGTAATTCACTGACCTTTTTCACCCTCTGCTTGACCCCTGGACTCCAAGCCTGTGCCCCAGGCCACCTTGGCCACAGGGTCCTGCATCATATCTTTACGGCCACCTGACCAGAGCAGGAAAAGATGCTCAACAGGCCATCCTGGAAACCTTACCTTTACTCCATAGCTTAAATCAATTATGGCTCTTTAATAAAAAAAAAAAAAAAAAAAAAAAAATTGTGGTATTGGGACTTGAACCCAGTGGCACTCTACCATTGAATCACATCCCAGCCCTTTTAATTTTTGAGACAGGGTCTCATTGACTTGAGATCCTCCTGCCTCGGCCTCCAAAGCAGCTGTGATGACAGGCGTGCACCACATGCTTGGCTCTTAATCAAAATTAATTTAAGATGAAGCGGGGTGGGCAGGAGGCCCAGGAAAACTGGCAGCTCTGTGACATCAGGTTGTCCCTTAGCACTGAGTAGGAGGAACCCTTTCTTACCGAGGAGCTTCTGTCTGCATGCAGAGGACCTGACGCCCACGGGCAAAGAGAGGGCTGGAAGGCCATGGGCTCTGCATGGGGAGAGCACCTCTGGTGTGGCACTCATGGGCACAGACACATTTGCTGAGGGAGAGATGGGGGGCGGGCTGTGGCTCTGTGCCAGTGAAGCATCTGACACAGACTCGCTCCCTTCCAGAGCCAGGGTCGTCCTGCTGTCCCATCCTCAAGCTAGCTAAGCAGGCCTTCTTCACACGTGGTCTTTTGGGGGGTGGGGAGCCTGGGGATGGAACCCAGGGCCTTGCTGGGCAAGCACTCTACCACTGAGCCACACCTAGCCTTTCTGTTTTTTTTTTGGCAGAAAAAGAAAGAAAAAAACAGTACTCACAGCTTCATAGCACCAATCTTTGAGAATGTCGAGCTCTCCAGAAATCATGGCCTAAAAAGGGAAAAGAGAACAAAAAAAGTGTTGAGAACTAAGTGGGCTTTTGAGGTAGAACTCTTGAGAACATTCTCTGGTGGGGGCCTTTCCTCAAAGACCCCTGGCCCCTCAGCCTGTGAGTGTGAGTCTAGAGAAGGACATTTCCACAGGAACCTGGCTATAGGGTTGGATCTAGGAAGGAAAGGGAAGTGCCGGGAGAGGGGCGAGGGGCAGGAAGGAGCCAAGCTCTGAAGGGGAAACTGTGGCCAGGCTAAGGCCCAGCACCCAACTCCCCCACCCACCTCCCTGCCTAAGTGGTGAAAAGGACATGGGAGCGGAAGGACTTCCTGTGGTCCCACAACAGGCCTGAAGAAAGCCTGGCCTGGCTGAGGGGGGGCTGCCCAGGCTCCTGTCACACCCCAAGGGCTACAAAGAGGCAGAGAAAGGCAACTGGCCTTGGCAGGTGGGTGGCTGCAGTCCGACATAAGCAACACCCCCCTCCTCACTTATAGACGAACAGGGGAACAAGAGCAGCTCAATGTGGATTGTGGGATTGCCAGGGACAAGGCCCAGGAAATGTCCCTTGGTTATGGGTGTGGCTGGGGCACTCTGTTAGAGTGTGAGTGTGGTGGGTGCCTGCTTCTCCCTGACCCCAGAAGGCCACTCCCGGGCACCTGTGAGGAACAGCTTCAGGCAGGGAGAAGGGAAGTGACACTAGGAGACACAGGACAGGGTTCCGGGGAGGCAGGGTGCTGCCTGACGACAAGGAGGAAGGAAGACTCATTCCTGGAGCAGCCAACTCTGGGCGAGGCACGACCCCCAACTGTCACCATCCCTGGAGCAGCGTGGACCACGGTAGGGTCAAGCCCCCTCCTGAGACCCTATCATGGGTGCACGTAGTTAGGCATCTGTACCCTGGACAAGGCAGAGGGCAGGCCTGTGGGGCAGCTGCAGCCAGGTAGGAGCCTAGAAGTATCTGCTCAGAAGACAGTTCCCCTGGGGCCACGCTCCCCTGGGGACACTAGACTTGGACCCAGAGTGCTGCCTGGGTAGGAAGAAGTTGGCCAGAGAACCAACCACCCCAGGAGGGGCCCTGCTAGGGCGTGGCAAGCACCTCCAGGACGTTGGGGATGATGTCATTCTCGCACTGCTTCAGAAACCGGTCCTTGTCGAAGGCCGGGTCCACCCGCAGGATCTCAGTGAGCACCTCTGACATTTCCGTCTTGGAGAACAGGCCTCCTATGGGAACCAGAGCCTGGGGTGAGTCAGGACCCTGGTTCCCTCCCCACTGCCTGCCAGGGTGTGGGGGACCCCTCCTGCAGCACAGCACTCACCCAGCAGGTCAGTGACCCTATCGGTCAGGGCCCGGGATGCTCGGATGAGCACGTTGTCACTCTCATCATACTTCATCTTCATCTCAAAGAACCCTGTGGGGGAGGGGGGTTGAGAAGGGCCCTTTCCAGAAAGCTGCCCAGCTCCACAGCTTCTGGGGACTCCCTACAGCCCCTGTGAGACCCACCCCGGACACGACTGTGCCCCAGAGGGGATCTCTGAGCCTGCCTCCTTATCTGTGCACAGGACTGCTGCCTGCTGACCTACCTGGCGAGGTCACGGAGACCCTCGGCTGGGGCCCTAGAGGGGCTGTGCAAGTTATGGGTTGCCACCCCTGCTGGCTGTGGCTTCCACTACAAAGGAAACAGAGGCCTCTAGTGGTCCTCCCAAGACAAGGGACAAGGGCAAGTGACCTGGTGGCTCTCTGGCTCAGCACCTGGGAAATCCCATGCCCAGCACAAGGCAACTCCAGCCCCAGTGGCTGCCACGGGGCCCTGGGCTGGCCCTGACCTCTGAAAGCACCAGGGTTCCTGTTGTCCTGACCATTCTATGAGGGAGCAATTGCCTGGCATCTTGGTAGCAGAATCTATAACTGAACCATCAGGTGGCCTCATAAAGATGACCAGCCCTTTGTAAACGGTCTCCATTTCTACAAAATGGGAATCTGTCCAGTGGCCAGAGTGGGCACACTGACCAGTGTCCACTACCATCACCCCGCCAGAACTCGACAGGAGGGCTGTACTCACGATTGAATACCACGTTGTTGTCTTTGAAGTCCTTCCACTGCTGGTACCACTTGGAGTCCTTGTGCAGCACGACTCCCAGAGCCTCCCTGGGCAGGACGCTGGTGTAAGCTGCAGCCCTGGTGCCGCTGGGCCCTCCCATTACCATGGGAGGGACAGCAGAGGGCGACCCCAGGCCCACAGCCACGATGACCCCATCCTCACCTCCTGCCCTCTCTTCTCCCTCTGTCCCACCCTTCTGGCTCCTTCCCATTTTCCTGAGGGAGCCAGAAAGCCCAAGTAGAGACCCGGCCGTGGCAGACCACAGGCATGATCCTGAGGATGGCAGTCAGGGACCTACTCGTTGGGCTCAAAGACTTTCTCTTCTTTGAACTTCTCTCCTGAAAACTCTGTCCTTTTCCTCAGCCGTTCAGGCCTGCGGTAAGGCCCAGTCTGCCCCAGAACACTCTGGTCGATCTCCTTCTTCACAGACTCTACCCCCTGAAGGAGAGCGGCAGACCTGTGAATGCCTGGGTGACCACCGGCCTCACCCGGACGCCATCCCGGCTGCCATGCTGCCTGGCTCCGCTCCACTCACCTGGGAGAGGGCCTTGAAGGCCGCTGTCTTGCCCAGCTTCTCCCCTCCCTTGGACACGGTCTCAGCAGACTGCTTGGCTGTCTTGGCAGCTTCTTCCATCCCCTCCTTGATCTTTCGGCCAAGGTCACTCTTGCTGACTTCGTCAAGACTCTACTGAGACAGATAGAGCGACGGGCATTCACGCAGCACCCACCCAGACCTGGACAGGTCCACACTTAGAGCTGAGAGCAGCAATACACACTCAAGAACACTGCATTCAATTTCTGGGATACAGAACCCCTGGGCTCCAGGCCAAACACTGGGTTTAATGACCTCTCCCCCAAATAGGTAGGAGTCCTCCAGGGGCAGGGAACCACCTGCAACAGGGACTCCCAGGAGCAGCAGTGCAGGGTGAGAGTGGCGGTGAGGGTGCCCGATGCCAGGCCCTCAGACCTGCACCCAGGCTGTCCCTCCTGGTGTCTCACATCCACCTCACCCTTAAATGGGGGCACGTCATCAGCGTCCAGCAGATGGGCCATAGTCCTGCCTCACCCCAGCTGACTTCCACTCCAGAAGCCTCCTGGACAGTGTGGCTGCCACCACAGTCCTCCGCACACTCACCACACCACTGCCAGGCCAGCCCGTCACAAGCCCGTTTCCCCTGCTGTCAACACCCACTGGACCCAGGGTTACTGTGACCCCAGAGGACTCCTGGCCACATCTGCCCATTACCTCCTTCACTGTCCCCGTCAGCTCCCCCAGTTTCTTTTTTATCGCCTCGCTGGTTCGCACAGTCTCCGACTCGATGGTTTTCTGTGATAAAGAAAATGGCTTCTTTTTATTCCTACACAAGTGAGCTTTACCTTATGACCAAAGGCCCCAGGAGGCGCTTTCTCTGTAGCCCAAACTCCCCACAGAGGCCCAGAGGCCTCCCCCTACAGGTTCCTCACAGCCCATAGCTGGGCTGGTGTCTCAGCAACTGCAGGCTCCTTGCCAAAGCCAGCAGCCTAGGTCCACCTGGCAGCCACCTCCAGAGCACGGGCACCCCAGCCCTGGGTAGTCCTCTGGGTGGCAGGAGGTAGTTCCCTATCCACTTGGCAGCAGTGTTATCTTGAAGGGCGGCTCTTGGCTTGATCTTATCTTACTCTGTCTTCCACCCTGGCCACCTCCCCCAACCTCAGCCTGCTGTCCCCAAATCAGCCCTTCCTAATGATTTGCCATCTAGCTGAACACTCAGTGAGGCATTCCATCCTAGTGAGCAACTTGGGGACACTCAGGGAAAAGGCCTCTTCCATGACCTGCTAGGGATCAATAGAATAAAATACCAAACCAGGTGTGATGGTGCAAGCCCATAATCCCAGCAACTTGGGAGACTGAGCCAGGAGGAACGCAAGTTCAAATAGTTTCAGCAATTTAGCAAGACCCTAAGAAACTCAGTGAAACCCTCTCTCTAAATAAAAACACTAAAAGAGCCGGGGATGCATCTTAGTGGTTAAGTGCCCCTGGGTTCAATCCCTGGTACATTAAAAAAATATATAAAAATAAAAATAAAATAAAATACCAAGCAACCTGGGGCAAGTATGCCCTGAGGCTCAGCCACTCATCTTTAGGATGGGTAAGCTGTCCTCCTGCAAAGCCCTTACACGGTGTTCACATAAAGGTTGCCGAGTCAAGTCCAGGCTGGTGCTTGGTAGCTGCTCAATAAAAGTCAGCAATGGTAATTGATAATGACCCTGGCATTGTAACCCAGTTTCTACCACTACAAACAAAAGCTCTCCGGAGCAGTACATCTAAAAGATCATGTGTCATAGATGACCCAATGTAGACCTGACCCAGCTGGTTAGGAGAGTGAGACTCCAAGACTGTCTCACAGTTCCCAGGAGAAGCCGATGCTGATGATCTGTGGACTGTGTGGGTGGGAGTGGGGGGTGGGGAAGGCGGCAGGGGGTGGAACCAGAGCCCCGTGCATGTTAAGCACAACTCTACCACTGAGCTACACCCCAGCAACGACACAAAGTGCACTGCAGAGAAACCACAGAAACAAGAGACCTGGGCAACCCACTCCTGTCTCCTGGGAACTCCTCATCAGTGCAGCAGCCTTACCTCCTCACAAGCAACCCCTTCCTCAACCACAGGGCCCTGCCCTGGAAACAAGTGTGGAAGGGGGGCGGGGTGGGGGGACAGAGCAAAGGGACTCACATATTTCCTTCTGGCTTCCTGGAGCGCATCAGACTCTTCCAGCTTCTTGGCCTCATCCCGGAATTTTTTTATACTTTCTTTCATCTCTTTGTTTTTGGCCAATTCTTGTTTGATGTTATCTACCAAGCCAGACAGAAAACCCTTTCTGTTTCCAGAGGAATATGATTTGGACTAGAACAAATGTAAAAGAAAAAGTTAGAGACTGGAAGAACACATATGAAAACACCCAGTAACTACTGAGGGACTGGGAGGCATTCTAAAATTTTTTTATTGATTCAAGTTAAAAAATGAATCTTTTATCTATTTCCTCTCCTTTTTGCAGTGCTGGAGATCAAACCCAGGGCCTTGCACATGTCAGGAAGACACTCTACCATGGAGCCATATCCTCAGAAGATGAATTAAAGAAACACCTGATCATAAAGTGTGAGACAGTTAGCCCTTTGTATCCACAGGTTCCATATTTTGGAATTCAACCAAACACACATAAATACATTTTAAAAAAGAAGCTGGGTGCAGTGGCACATGCCTATAATCCCAGAGACTGGGGAAGCTGAAGCAGAAAGGTCACAAGTTCAAAGCCAGCCCAGGCAACTTAGCTATAACCTGTCTTAAAATAATAAAATAAAAAGAGCTGGTGGTAGAACACCTCTGAGTTTAATCCCCAGAAACTGCATCTGTAGTGAACATGTACAGACTTTCTCCTTATTATTCCATAAATAAATGCTATCTCCACAGCATTTACTTCACTAGATATTTTAAGTAATTTAGAGATATTTACAGTCTAGGGGAGGATTGTGCAGATTCTATGCAAATATTGTGCCATTTTATTGAGCCTACTTAGATTGTGTTATCTATAGGGGTCATGGAACCAATCCCTGGCAGATACCAAGGGAAACTGCACATCCAACAGTGGAATATTGAGAAATGAACTCTTAAGCCACAAGGAAACCTGAAATGTACACTACTAAGTGTTAATGAAGTAATCTGCAGGGCACAGTGGCACATATGTGTTAATCCCAATAGCTTAGGAGGCTAAGGCAGGAAGATTTTGAGTTCAAAGCCAGCAATGGCGAGGGCGCTAAGCAACTCAGTAAGATGTTGTCTCTAAATAAAATACAGAAAAGGGCTGGGGACGTGGCTCAGGGATTGAGTGCCCCTGAGTTCAATACTCTGTACCAAAAAAAAAAAGAAGAAGCCAATCTGAAAAGGCTTCAGACTGCATAATTCCAACTCTATGACTCTCTGGAAAAACTGATCAGTGGTTGATGGGGATTGGGGGAAGGAGCGATGAACAGGCAGAGCACAGAGGATCTCTAGGAGTGAAACTACTGTGTATGAACCTGGACACATGTTGTGGTATAACAGTCAACAGGATTCATTTGTCAGGAGCCACAGAATGTACAACACAGAAGTGGTTCCAGCCAGGCAGGGGTGCACACACCTGCAATCCCCGCAATTTAGGAAGCTAAAGCAGGAGGACCACTTAGCAAAGCCCTAGACTTAGCAAGACCCTGTCTTTAAACATAAAAAGGGGGCTGAGATTGTGGCTCAGTGGTAGAGTGCTTGCCTAGCATATGGAATGCACTGGGTTCAACTCAGCACCACATAAAAATAAATAAACAAAGATATGATTCCATCTACAACTAAAAAAGAGGTAACTCTTTTTATAGCTTTATTTTATTCATTTATTTATTTTTTTATGTGGTGCTGAGTTTTGAACCCAGGGCCTCACATACGCAGGGCTAGCACTCTATCACTGAGCCACAACCCCAGCCCAAGATTTTAAAAAACATATATAAAAAGGGCTGCAGATGTAGTGATAAAGCACCCCTGGATTCAATCCCCAATGCCCCCCCCAAAAAAATCCCAAAGGTAAACTATGGACTTCAGTAAATAACAATGTATCAATACTAGCTTATCAATTGTAACAGATACCCTCACATACTAGACTTGAATAACAAGGCAAACAATGTGCCCAGATAGTGGGGAGGAGGTAGATGGGAAGTCTCTATACTTTTTGTTCAGTTTTCCTATAAACCTAAAACTGTTTTAAAAGAAAGTCTATTTAAGGCAAAACAAAACACAGTCCCCTTCCTCACCAGAAGAAACAAAGGACAAATGGCTAGGCTAGGTCCTCATGAGCATTCAAATATCCTCACATGAACCCAAAGCAAAAGTCAACAACACAGAAGGGACTCTCATCCCAGGGATAAACTGTGAAGAACTCTGTAGGTCCTAATTCCAAAATCCAGCACAGGGCTTCTACTCTTCCTGGCCCCTCTAGGAAAACTTTGGCCATTTCTGGTATCCAGCTCTCATCCATGTCACCCAAGAGCCTGGTGACCATCACAAACCTCCCTTTCTTAGCCCATAGGAGAAGAGTCACAGAGAGCCTGCCTCTTGGGAAAACCCAACACATCCAGATGTAGAGAGAAACCAAGGTGCAGCTCCAAATACAGGAGCCAATGTCACACACTACTTAGAGGTACATGCTTCAGGTCAAAGCTGGACTTAAATTCTGCTTTGCTATATGTATAGCAACAAAAGGGCTCAATAAAAATAATTTTAAAAATGCTTAAAAAGTGATGTAAGAGAGTCAACACAGGGAAGTGGCCAGATGTGGTTACCTCATCTAGGATATGCCACAATAGCTGAGGGGCTGCTTTCCCAACATGCTGCAGCCTCATTCCCATCCCAGCCTTTCTCCAAAGGAAGCCCAGGTCCTAAGACCTTCAGGGATTCTGCCATCTTGCACCAGCCCTTCCATATATTCTAGGGCTGCAAACTGTGGGTGTAGGGGACTGCACAACTAAGGAAAAGAATCATGGGGCCTGTCCTATATCCGCAGATTCCAGAACAGAATCAGGGGGGTAATTAGCTGCCTGCAAGGAATTAGCTGAGTTGAGGCCTTGGGTGTAGGAAGAGAGGGTGTAGGTTGCCCCAGCATACATTGGGGCTTCCGGTCTCACTCATAGTTGTGACACTAACAGAAGCATGGGCAAAGAGAAGTGACCAGGACAAAGTGAAGTCCAGAAACATCAGAGTGACTCTGATTCAATGCCTAAAGGGCTGTCTCCCAAAAAAGGGGACAACTATGCCTGATGAGGGACCCAAGGGCAGAGGCAATGGGGAAGAAAAAATCTGGCGCAACACAGGGGCCTTTTCTAGTCATCAGAGCACTCAGTGTGCTACTCTGTGAGGTACGAGTACCCGATCCCCAACAACATCAAGCAGGATGCTGCCCAAGCACTTCCTGGCATACTGAGAAGATCTGGCACACTGGGCTCTACATCTTCAAACAACCTGGGCACAGAGGCACACCATTGACATACCCCTGGTATCATGAGCATGGTATCGGGATGCCACTTACCAGTGGCAGCTCTCCACCTGGCCGGCATATCTGGTAGGCTGAACCATGGGGTAGATTGTGGCTGGAAAGAAACTGGACTCCATTGCCAAGGCATCTCTAATTGGAAGAAAAAGGAGAAAGGTCCATTCAAACAATAGTTTGTCTAGGAAGTAAGCAGACCACTCAAAAATGCTGGAGTCACCTGCAATGCATTTGCCAATTTTGACCAAGTGTTTGCTGTATGCTAGACAATCTGCAACCTTCCCAAGTCTGAGAAGCCAATGGAATCTGATAGAAAAGAGAAAATGCTACATCTGCACTTCCAAGGCATATTCCTGCCTCTGAAACTGGGAAGTAGGGACTGGGGGTCAGAGGTCCCAGAAAATGTCAATCTGTGGGGAAGAAGGCTAAATATATCAGTACAACTTAATCCCTTAGCCTGAAAGAAGACATGCTAAACTTCCATGCCAGTGGCAAGCAGTCTTCTGTCACAAGCCCACCCAACTTTTGCTAGCCTCCAAAGACAAGAGACCTGAATTTTCAGAGGCAAACTCATAACTTACTGCCCCAGACAATGCTGAAATAAACCTGCAATGTCCTGGTCAAAAGTTGGGCTGCAAGCAGAGCAATTTAGTGGAGTCATTCTGGGCAAAACCCCAGTCAACTTCATGTGAAAGGCACTTTCTTCTCTTACCAAATGATGAATGTTAAGCTGGATTCTATTCTACTCTGCACCCTAACATCAAACACTGAAGCCTAGTGCACTAAAATCAAATGACCTAATAGAACCACTCTTCCATTTCCTGGGCCTTTTCTTTCTCTGTTCCCTACCAGTTCTGGCAACCACCCGCAACATCCCAAATTTACACAAGTACCACTACTGCCTATGGTTAGTCAAGGATAACTCTTGGGAATGTAAATAACTTGTTTTACGTCTCTATATGCTTACACCCACTGATTCCAGAAGCAGTAACATCAGCAATCCTATGAAGTAAAAGAAGCTATTTAATCTGGGAGAGAAATCTCATGCTAGGATGAAACCTGAGTTTAGTTTCACCTAACCTCAAATTTGCCCAATCCAAACACGTGTAAATTCAACCTCTAAGGAGTAATCAATACTGATTCAAAGACACCTTTTATCCTGACATTCAGCTTCCTGTGAAACATTTTCCTTCCTCTTAATCCAAGGCTCTGTATTCAGGTTGATCCGTGTTTTGGACCTGTCAGTCACCTAATAGCTCTAGGACTGTGGGCAGGTGGCTTAACTCTTCTGAGTTTCTAGTTCCTTCAACTAATGAAACAGGACGAAAGGATCGCAACATGATACACTAGCTTCTGAGTGTGCATTACAAGCCCTGATTCCCATCGCCCTACAGACCCGAGAGTTCTCAATCTTAGGGCGAGAAATAAGTCCCGCACTTCCACGCTGGGAGTGAGGAGAGGCGATGTTGGAAATGCCCTCGGTAGAAGACCTGGCATTTGAACGCGAGCTGTGAACGTCACTTTCTTTGCTTTCACCTGGCTACTTTTTCTCCAAGGGGCACTGTCGCTCGGACCACTATTCACTTCCCCGTGCATATGGAGTCTGGTGAGCGAGAGGTGACTAGCTCCCCTTCAGGCTCTGCGCACAGCCGCCCCCAGCTTGGTGTGCTCGGTCCCCGCGCTCAGGCCTCGCTATGTGCTCTCTGGCCCGGCCTCAGGTGACCCAAAGACCCAACCCCAAGCCTCCACGGGAAGGGCTACAAGAGCCGAGGGCCTGAGGAGAAGGCCTCGGAGGCTGCGCACCCAGAGCCCCCTAAACCCACTCGCCAGCCCCGCAAGTCCGCTCACCCGCGGACAGCGGCACCAGCCACCCCGCAGCGCCGCCGCCGCCATGTTGGAAGATCCCGTGTGACCTTCTCGCGGCGCGGCCGGATGGCGTCAACCGCCGCGACCGCCTAGTGCACCGCGGTCCCGAGAAAAGCCAGCCCAGCGGGCGGGGTTTCAGAGAGGGAGAGCTTTCTGATTGGGTATGACGTAATTGGGGGCGGAGAGAGAACGCGAGCGAGCAACAAAGCCGTCCATGGTAAGGGCGGGGCCTAATAGCGGTCCCCCGGGAATTTCTAAAGAGCTTGTCCTCTGATAGGGCAGGGTTTTGGAAAAACGGAGCATATGACTGGAAGTGGAAGGCCTCGAAGGAAGCCCAGGGGGCGGGCACTCCTGTGAAGTTCAGACCTGTGGTTGGGCGAGATCGAGAAGCGGCGGAGCCTGAGGGCGAGGATTGGGTCAGTTCGGTGATTCCACTACAGTCCGTTCAGGGAGCTGAGAATGTTTGATTGACAGAGACTGACAGACCCGCAAACTATTTGCTCCAAGAACGAGAGCGAAGAAGCTCGCTCTTATACAGCACTTTGAGAAGACACCTATTGGTTCTGACCCAGAACAGGAGGGCGAAGCGATACCAGGCTGGGTGTGGCCTAGTCTTGCCCTGAAGTTTGTTTTTCATTTGGAGAATGCCGCCATCAAGTGGTGGCACATTGACATGGTTATTCGATCTTTGGGGAGGTGGAGGGATGATACCTTGGGGGAGAGAATGTATGTTGCCTGGTTGTCCTCTTGACGCTTTTTGCATTGTTAACCCCTGATGTGGACTTGTGGAGCTCAGTTCCTTGAAAAAGATGCCGCTTGTGCTGTAGAAAATTGAGGCAGCATCCTACCATGAGTTCTATTCTCAAATTCATCACTCCCTGGTTATTTTACTACACGTTATTATGATCTGCTCTCGTGAGGTTATTTACATGTAGTCACATGCCACATTATGCCACCTCGATTATGGACAGACCACAAATATGACAAACCATGGCCCCAGAAAATTATGACATTGTAATTGTATCACCTAATGACATTGTAACTATCCTAATAGCCCAATACATTACTCATCCTACTGTGCTGCCAGTTGTTTAAAAATATAGCACATACATTTGTGTACAGTACATAATACTTGATGATAATAAATGACTATATTATTGGCTTATTATTATTGAAGTGAACTCCTAATTATTGAATGTTTATTGTAATCCCAGTTCATTGGGAGGTTGAGGCAGAAAGATCACAAATTGGAGGCCAATCTCAGCAACTTAGCAAGTCTCTGGTTCAAAATAAAATAAAAAGAGCTAGGGATGTAGCTCAGTGGTAGAGTACTTGCCCAGCATAGTGGGAGGCACTGGATTCAATCCCCAGCATGATAAAAAATAAATAAATAAAACAGTTCACTGTAGAACAGTCAGCCATGTCACACCAGCAGCAGGTTCACACATCTCATGTTCACCGAGTGAGTGCTTGATCACATCAAGAGGCCAAGTTGAGTGATTGGCCTAACCATGTGGGTTTGTGTAAATGCACTCTGTCGTTCACTACAATGAGATCGCCTAATGTGTCTCCCTCACTAAGCAAGGCATGGTCACATGTTGTATCTGCATGCTGGAAACATGATGTATACAGCTACATCTCTTAAGAGTTCTTGGATGGTGCCCTATTATTAGTGGAATCAGTCACAGTGGGAGTATTTACACCACAGGAATTGGCAAACATTACAAATAAAAATTTTTTGGTTTGTTTATTAGGAGAGCCAGTTACTAAACACAGCAGAGGATGAGAACGTGAAGGACAGTGAACATAGACTGTTCCCAAAAATCTGCTGTGCATAGAAAGTGAAATGATGACAGCTGGAGGAACATATGGAGAGGAGCAAAAGTGCCTTGTTTGTTTTCCCCAACTTCTTATTTTGCAGAATTTCAAAGCTGCAAAACTTGAAAGGATGGATGGTATGATGAAAACTCACAGGCCCTTCACCTAGATTCACTTATTCGTGTTTGCTATAGCATCCTCTCCCCACTCCCTGTGTTTGTTTGTTTTGTTTTGTTAACTTTTTAACAAATTTTTGCAGTGCTGGGGATGGAGCCCAGGGCTTCACTGCATGCTAGGCACGTGACTACCACAGAACCACACCCTCAGACCTGATTTTGTGTGTTTCTTTTGCTAACCCATTTGAAGGAGAGTTACAGACATCCAGAGGTCTCATCTTTCAATATTTAATCATGAATCTCTTCAGGACACTTTTTACAAGATGACAGCATCATTAACCCCCAAAATATTCATTAACATCGAATAACTAAAAGTAATTAAATAGCTCAATATGGTGGTGATTTCCAATAATCCCAGCTATTCAGTAAACTGAGGCAAGAGGATGGCAAATTTGTGGTAAGCCTCAGCAACCTAGGGAGGCCCTATCTCAAAAATTAAAAGGGCTGAGGGGTGTGGCTGTGTGGTAGAGAACCCCTTAATTCAACTCCCAGAATCCGATCCAGTTTCTCTTATTGCATTTGGTTTTCCTGTCTCTTGCGGTTTCTTTTCACCTAGAAGTTCCCTTTATTTTTTTCTTTCATGATTCTGGCAACTTGGAAGCCCTGTTGTGTAAAATGCTCCACATTCTAAATTTAACTGACTTATTAAAAATGATTGGTTTCCAGTTTGTCTAGAAGGTGGGAATGGGTCTTTCCTGATGCACTCTAACAGGAGGTCCATCATGTAAATGTGTTCCACTTTGAAGGATGCTAAATTCCGTGATTTGGTTAGGGTTTGTTTTTACCTTCACCTTTATTTTAATGTTCTTTCTAGTGCAGGGGTTGTTTTTATTTGTTTGTTGTTATGCTGGGGATAAAACTCAGGGTCGTACACAGGTTCATCCAGCTCTCTACCACTGTGCTACACCCCAAGCCTCGAGCAACATAGTTCCTTGTGGTTGTTGGACTGACAACCAGTTTCCTTGCTGCTTCTCAGTGGGCCACTCCCACCTCCTACAGGTGGCCTGAACTCCTTTCTTATGTAGCCATCAGAGTCCCTTCCCAACTTTCCCAAGCTTGAAATCTGATGTCCTCTTTTGCCAGAGAAATAGTCTTTGCTTTTAAAAAAAGGCTCTTGTGATCAGATTGGGCCCACCCAGATAATCTTCCTTTTATCATAAAACATTACCTCTGGAGTCTCTTCAGGGCTGCTCTGCTTCATAGATGATGACTTGTAAAGGTGCCCTCACCGGTGGAGGGAGTAAACTAGCTCTCTTGGCCCTGACAGCATTCAGGAAGACGGAGCCTCACTTCTAATCACCACAGCATTGCGGATCAGCTTTCAACATATGAATTTTAATGGACACAACTTCAGACCAGAGTGGTTTTGGCAGCCCAGGCTGACTGAGACATCAGTCAACCAACCATGCACCCCAGACTGCCTGGTGTTGTGGCTGGGGACAAGGGACCTTCCCCCAGGTATATGGTGAATGTGTGGTAGAATGGGACAAGGATGGTCAATGGCAAGGTCAGAAGTGGCTGAGGAAAAGAGGCAGTGAGGGAACCATCCTTTGAAGAAGTGTCTGGAAAGTCTATTCTTGGAATTATTTCCAAATTTGAGCAAGATTTTTTTTGGCATTATTTACCTGCTACTAGGTGACAAGTTACTCCAAAGCTTAGCAGAGAGTAGGAAGTGGTGGCCAGGGCTGGGGGAGAAATGGAGAGTTGCTGTTTAACATGTATAAAATTTTAGACGTGTAGACTAAAGCTCTGATTTGGATAGGACTTGAGTCTGTCCCCCAAAGGGTCACGTGTGGGAGGCCTGGTCCTCAATGTGGCAATGTGAGAGGTGGTGGCACCTTTAAGAGGTGAAGTTCAGCAGGGCATAGTGCTGCATGCCTATAATCCTGAGGATGGGGGTGGGGACTGAGGCAAGAGGATCACAAGTTTGGGACCAGCCTCAGTAACTTAGTGAGACTCTATTTCAAAAAAATAAAAATAAAAAAGGACTTGGAATATAGCTCAGTGTTTTTGTAAAAGCACCCAGGGTTCAATCCCCAGTACCAAAATAAAAAAAGAGCCTGGTGGGAGATTCCTGGGGGTACTGCCCTCAGAGGGGATTGTTCTAGTCAGCCTCTGCTACTGTAACAAATACCCGACAATCAACTTATAAAGAGAATAGGGTTAGTCAGGTGCAGTAGTGCATACCTGTGATCCCAGCTACCTGGGAGGCTAAGGCAAGAGTATAGAAAGTTTGAGTCCAGTCTAATGAGTTTAGCAAGTAAAATAAAAAGTAAATGGAGCTGGGAATATACTCAATAAGAGGCCCTGGGTTTAAAAAAAAAAAAAAACATGCTGGGGATATAGCTCAGTGGGTAGAGTGTTTACCTTGCATGCACAAGGCTCTGGGTTCAATTCCCAGCACCACAAAAAAAAAAAAAAAAAAAAAAAAAGGTTAATTTTGGCTCATGATTTTGAGCAGCCCAGTCCATGAACAGGCAGATCCGCTGCTTTTAGGATTCTGGGGGTGTCAAGATGGCAAGGAACAAAGCAAATTGCTCACTAAGCCAGGGAGCAAAATAGAGTGAGGATTGGGGTCCCACAGTCCCTTCAAGGGCACACCCCCAGTTAAAGACCTCCCACTATGCCCCACCTCCAGGAGGCTCTGCCACCTCTGACAGCACCACTTCAGGGACTGAGCTTTCAGTGCATGGGCCTTTAGGGGAGACTGAAGATCCAAACTGCAGCAAGAACTATGGGAGTCTCACGGGACCCCAAGTTAGCTCTCAAAAGGGTCATCATGAAAAGAGCAAACTGTGCACACCTGTGATCCCTGCTACTCAGGAGACTGAGGCAGGAGGATTACAAGTCCGAGGCCAGGCTGGGCAACTTAACAAGAGCCTCTCTCAAAAGGAAAAAATAAAAAGGGCTAGAGATGTGGCTCAGTGGGAGAGCACCCCTTGGTTCAATCCCTAGTCTCAATAAATACATACATACATAAATAAGGCATTAGAGCATCTCTAATCCAATACGGCTGGTGTCCTCCCCAAAAGAGAGTAGGACACATACAGAAGGATGAAGAACAGGAAGACACCATCTGTAAGCCAAGGAGAGAGAGAG